ACTCATTATTAGACTTTCAATACTCATTAAAAATTGGACAACTGCTCATTAACATTACACCAATGCTCATTTAGCATAAACCGTGAATTTCATTTAAATTACTAAAATGCCACCGGCTGTACGGTTCTCACCGTACAGCCGGCTGTACGGTATACGGGATTCCTTGCATGCCAAATTAAAAGGGCAAGGTACTACCATTAGTCCATTACTTAAATCAGTTCTACTATGTAACTACCTTAGAGAGAGTATTAGCTTTTTTTAGTGGACACCACTATTCATTTTAATTATCATTGTCCCTTTAGTTTATACGGAGTACTCCGTAAATTTTACCGCTTACGAATATTTCAATGACCCTTATTGCTTTCCACGAGTAATTCTAAAACAGAGGATCGAGTTGAAAACTTGAAAACCCTACCTCTCTGCTTCACCGAAGCTGCAAGCGGCGGCATCTGCAATTGACAAGAACCGGCCGAAGAGAGCTGCTACTAAATCTCTTTTGCCATGAACAGCGCGAAGATATTTTCTTGCATCGAGCTGCTTGGCAGATCGGTATTCATCTTTTCATTCAAGCTTCTTCATCTCTATTTCATCGGATTCTTTGTCGGTTTAGCTTTAATCCCTAAATGTTTCATCAATTAAATTTGACTGATTTCTTAAATGCCTAATTTTCTAACATTTAACTAGGTCTTACTGGGATTGGCTGGTATTATTACTTTACTTTTGAGGCGCTAATGATTTTTTATTTGTTAATTAATTAGATCGTATGAGTTTACGAGTTTACGATCCTTGTTTGCTTCTCAATTCAGACTCAAGGAAAGTAAAGTTCGCAAATTTTCCAAAAATTGTGAAGCTGCAAAGGATACTATGGCAAATTGGCAAGCACAAATAAGTACTTAGTTCAAGTGTCCACGTTATGATGACAACATGTAAGGGTGCTCATTACTTGAAATTTAAATTGAGATATTGTTTCAAATGTGTTTCAAATTCTAGATTTCAAAATTCAGCTGTGTTATGTCTTTATCTTTTTCAGTTTTATCAAGTCACTTGCTGCTCTAACATGATTATTGGCTTAGTGCTACTTTCCTTTGATAATATATTGCCCTTTTATTTTGGAGTTTTCTCACAGATGGAATGTGTTAGAGTCAAAGGTCTTGTTTATTTTGGGTTTATATTCATCTTGAACATGGATACACAATATGGTCAGACACTATGATTGTTCAACTTAAATTCATATGAAGTAGTATTTACATTTACTGAATGGAAAAATGCTCTACCTCTTGGATATTTTGGCTATTTTATTTTAGACCTAATAACTTATGAGAAATTCCATTAATTGCTTACATAGTTACATTATTTATGTTAATTACTTTTAGTTGAGAAAAACTACTAATTTACTATTTATAATATGGCAGGTGAATGTGGAGCACAAATATGCACATACAGACAAAGAAGATGAGTGACCTCCCACATTAGCTTGAGCTTCATATTATGGAGTTTTTGACTAGTTCTGGATTAGTTTTACGAGAAAGTTACTCAATGTAATCAAAATGTTGAATGATTGAAACTTCATTGTCATTTCATGTTATATATAAATAAAATATTAATGTGGATGATTCATTTGTTTTTCCCTCATTTGTTATTGCATCTTAAAAGTAATATATTATGTGAATGAAGTATCTGCATCTAATTCACGACAGAGTCCTTTGACAATATGAGGCAATATAGTAAGGTTATGACTAAAGGCACATTTTTAGTGTCAACGCATGGTTGTTATTTGGCTCTAATAGGAATGCTTCTAATAATATTTTGACCTAACATAATATGGTTGCCTCTAATGCTATTTTGAGGCGAAAGACTATGGTTGTTTCTAAATATATCTTTTTAGAAGCAAAATAATTTTAGCCTCTAAAGGGTGCTTTTAGAGGCAACCATCATTTTGCGACGGACTATTTGTTGGCAACCACTAAAGTGCCTCCAAAAAGCATTAGAGGCTACTTTGCTATGTTTAGGGGCAATTATGATATGCCTCTATAAATCAATTTTAATGTAGTGCCACTTTACAATAAGTACTAGTTACATAATAGTATTCCGTACCACGGTTTGAGGCATTTCCCCGTATTTACCAAAATTAGGTACTCTAGCCGATGAGCTATCAACAATATTCACACGCTTCAGCTTAGTATTCACACAAAGTACATAGCAGTGATGCACTTGCATGATCGGGAAGACAAACTGCACCAAAAATAACCATTTTTTACAATTCACAATGTAATAACAGTGTATCATATTTCACTTAAACGACATACCAAATCAACTTTTGAAAGTGCAGTGTGCTTATTTATTGCTTCCAACCCAAACTCAATGGCTTCCACAAAGAGGGTGTAAGCACTATCAGGTCTGCCTGTGTGTCAAGCTACAACACAATTCCAAATTAGTTGTACCCAACCGTAATCTTCATGCATTGTGTTTAAATGAGCACATGCATGAAAATTCATCTAAAAAAATTCATACCTCAATTAGTATTTTTCATGAGTGTGTACTTACATAGGGCAAGACTTTAGCAAATAATCGACTGGGAGACTCATTGCTTCAGTCGTTCTCTTTATTACGATACCGGAATTCATCACTAAATGCACTTAATATCATCTTCAAATGCACTTAAATCAACACTCATATGCATATTAACTCCATCACACAAAAATCAACATCCACGTTTAAATCAACATTCATATGCATATACATATGCACCTTCATATGTACAAATCTCAATTAGAGACATCACTCTTTCTATTTAATTGCACCCTACCTTTCTTAGTCTTCATTTTAACTTCGATACACAACATTCACACTCAACATTGAATTCCACCTTTACCTAAACTATTTTGCATATTAATTCCACACAAAACTCACATTCAATTGCACAAATCTGAAAATAGGGACACCAATCACGAACACAAAACCCACATTCCTAACCAATATGCACTTTATTGAACCTTATGATGCACACTCCGGATTACAAAAATCAAGAACACAAAAAAAAACGCAGTTCTAACCAATATGCACTTCATTGAACGTGCACACTTCAGATTACAAAAATCACAAACACAAAAAACTCACATTGCTAACCAATATGCACTTCACTGAACCTTCAAATGCACACTTTAGATTACAAAAAATCACGAACACAAAACCCACATTCCTAACGAATATGCACTTCAGTGAACCTTAAGATACACACTTCAGATTACAAAAATCACAAACACAAAAACCCACATTCCTAAGCAATATGCACTTCACTGAACATTAAGATACACACTTAATTGAACCAAGTGCAACTCATATTAGAAAAGAAATTAAACAATGTTTCACTGAATCTGATGTCCAGCCATATGCATCCACACAACTCTCTCAGTGCATATCAAATCAAACATATTAATCTAAACAATACCAAAAAAAATCTTACCTTCTTCGCACGCCAGAGCATTTTGTCGCATTGCGTATTCTTCTTGGAGTGAAGCCATAAGCGCAAATGGTATTTCAACCGTCGTCGATGTTCACAACCGCCATCCTTCATTGACCGTCAAGCTATTGCCGCTCACATGGAAAGCTTCGTGCTTCTTCAACCTTCGTTCCTTGGTGCATCAACTATTTTGACAAACCTCTGCATATTTCCTTTTTTTGATTTGCTATTCATGGGTGATTGGAAATTTGGAATCGTAGTGGGGATTAGCACATATTTGGTGATTTCTTTCCTTATTCGTATTCTGTCGGTTCCCTTTTAAAAAAATTCAATTTACTTTATTATCCTTACTTACTAAGCGGTTGGTTTGTTTCGCAGTGTCCTCCTACGCAGCGCACAACATGTTACGGTGTGTAACATGTTTTCAGCCCTTGATTTGCCTAAATTGGACGCACGAGATTGATTTGCATTTTGTATGGGAAGCATTGTTTGTATGTGATCTCATCCCTACATATATATATATATATATATATATATATATATATATATATATATATATATATATATATATTTAAAAAACTTAGTCACGGCTGATGACCGTGACTAACATGCCGGAGAAGTTTTCTGGTGATTTTTTAGTCACGGCCAGTGACCGTGACTAATATATAGTCACGGTTACGAGGCAGTGACTTATTTTAGTCACGCCCGTTAAGTCACGGATCTAGTCACGACCTTTGACCGTGACTAACCTATTTAGTCATAGAAAAAATGAACTGTTGGCCGTGACTAAAACCGTGACTACACGTGTGTTTTTTTGTAGTGAATGTTTGTGTGAAAGCACAAAAATGATTCTAATATTCTAATTTACTTATAAAATCAATTTATTAGAAGCTAGGTGAACAACTTTTGAAAATTGATTCTGCTTTTCTTAATTTATATGATCTATTTTGTTGATTCAAATTTGTAATCTAACCCTACCTTAGCTACCGCGCGTGATCCGTATTTCACATGCTATGCCCCATGCCCCCATGGTGCACGATTTCAAAACTCTTCCTTACTTGGCCACAACATCTCCATTAATGCCTTATCATCTTCTTTTTTTCGATACATGGGAAGAGAAATAATATCATATCCTTAATTAAAAGATACTCCCTGCAATTAAATGATCAGCTAGTGGTAGCTAGATTCCCATCATGTACTACCTCCGTTCTCTTTTAGTTGCAACGTTAGACTTTTTTCACTATTCACATATTCTATTTTGACTACATTTTATTAATTGATGTATTATAAATTAAATTTTTAAAAAATATTGTTAAATTCTTCTCATTCTAAATTTTCAAAATATGATTTTTTTTAAATTTTTTACTAATACGGAATGAAAGATATTAATGGTCAAACTTGTGCGTTGGCAAACGTGAAATGTTGACTGTTGCAATTAAAAAGGAACGGAGGAAGTATCATTTATGGGGTGTAAGGCTAGCTAATAGGGTACGTAAGAGCTGAGGTTTCTCTAGCTTATAAATATTTTGGTTTTGGGTAGTGAGCACTGAGCAAGTGCAGACCAAACACGAGGAATTTAAATTTTGCTCTTTCCATTACCCTAAGAAAATGGCTCTCAGGTGGAACACTAAGACCCAATTCTTTATTTTGTATGTAGCAATGGCATGGGTGCACCCATCATCAAACGGCAGTTACTCGCTAGTTCCAAATACGGTTATTGAAAGTGCGGTGGCAGAAGGAGCCGTTTGCCTGGATGGAAGTCCACCGGCATATAATTGGCTCGCAGGAAAGGGTCCTGGTGCAAAGAATTGGCTGGTGTACCTTCAAGGAGCTGGATGGTGCTTGAACAGCAGCATTTATCACACAAGTGATGATTCTGTTCAGAGTTGTGAAAGCCGTGCAACAGGTGAAGTTGGTTCTTCCCATCACATGCAGCCTATGAAGTTTAAAAATGTATTTTCTGTTCATGCAAATGATAGTTATTTTTTTAACTGGAATCGGGTTATAGTAAGATATTGTGATGGAGGATCATTTGCGGGAGATGCAGACAAACTTGACCCCGTAACGAAGCTCTACTACAGAGGTGGCAGGATCTTCAACGTTGTCGTCAAAGAGTTGATGGCGAAAGGAATGAGCGGTGCGCAAAATGTTCTGCTTGCCGGAGGATCATCTGGCGGACTAGGCGTGATGATACACTGTGACCGCTTTCGGGGTCAGTTCTCTAAGAGTGTGCGAGTGAAATGTCTTGCGGACGGTTCACTCTTTCTTCACATGAAAGATCGCAGCAGGGCAAAGTTTTTCGAAACTGTTTTCAGCACTGTAGTGGGTGTGCATCATCTCCAGAAGGCCCTTCCCAAACAGTGCGCTTCCAAAATGAGTGCCACTGCGTGCTTCTTCCCCCAAAATTTGTTGGATTTTGTGGAATCGCCGATTTTCATTCTGAATTCGGCATTTGATTCTTTTCAAATAACAAACACGTTTGGGGAAGGCTTGCACGACCAAATCAAGAATCACATGGCCGTCAGCGAAGGTGATATGGCTTTGCTCAAAGATTTCAGAGAGCAAATAATCCATGCATTGCCTCCAAAAAGTGCCAAAGTTGGATATGTGGTTACATCCCTCTTTGCTCATAGTGTGGCTTCGCAAATAGGCTACAAAAAACCCATATTTCCTGCTGTCCCGGAATCCAAGAGCATTGAAAGCGCTGTGCTAGACTGGTTCTACGATCGAGCACATGTTCACTTGGTTGACCCCACTGATGAACCTTTCGTAACTTAAATTATATTAGGTACTTTTATTGGTGACCGGCCGGCCATTATCTATATTGAATTATTATATATCTATATATATGTGTGCACCTACGGCTTTCCCTAATCTATTATCGATCTATTTAGATATCATTATCCGCGGCGTTTGGCGGAACGACCTATTATTGTGTACTGAATTATGCTACTTCATAATATTTACTACGTTTTAAATCGACTCGCGCGCATACAGCTAGCCTGTTAGTAATATACCAAGTATGTATATATAGTGTTCTCGTTTTATGGACAGATTGTTTTTGTGGATGTTAGCAGGATCGAAATTTTAGGAGATTGTTCCAGGTCCGATAATTAATTCACCAAATCCAAATAAAAGACCACTTAATTTATAGTAAAATAAAATTGCATCTGTGAGCAATTAAGTGCATGCATCAATGATCAATGGAATAAATGCTTGAGGAATTGATTGCATTACATTAATGTACGAAGAGATGACAATTTAACCCGATTTATGTAAACGAGGAATGTGGCGGGTACGGTTTTATACGTATCCAATCTGTTACCTGTCCCGTAACTGCCCCATTTAGTTCGGGTATGGTTACCCGCACCACTACACGCCCCGTAATGTCATGCATGTTATATATTACAGAAATTACTCCAAATAGAAATAAAACTATGACAAAAATAAAAATATACTACCTTCATCACACTATGTTTGGCACAATTCGCTTTACGATGTTTGATCGAAGATAAAGCAAACAAATTCATGTCCGAACCCAAATTATTTTTAGAAAAAAAATTACATATTCAGATATTACATTAAAAACTTTACGAAGTCGCAAAAACTTGAATCAAGTTTGATAAAATTTAATATATAAAGTAAGACATTAAGAGTGATTTGTGTTGACCAAGTGAATAGTGTCTGGGACAATCTTAGCGAGACGTAGGGAGTAAGACTTCTTATATTTTAATTTCAAAATAGGATCCTATTACTCCGATTGGAAATATACCTATTTTTTCATTCCATTCTTACCCCTCCTTTTAATATGAGCAAAAGGTAGTCAACAGTCATATTTAAATGGTTAAATTCATAATAAATTTGTAAAATATTAAAAACATAGTATAAAAATAATAATAAATAATAAATTATTTACAAAATAAAAAATTAATTTATTAATATTTAAAAAATTAAAAAAAAATTATTATTATTCAAATAATTTTATTAATTTTGTTGTATTTTTACAAATTTTTATTATTTTTTATTATATTATTATGAACGAGAGTAAGAATTATTCTCTGTTCTGTTCTTTGCGAATGATTAGTGTGCATCTATGTGTCAAGATGGTGATAAATTAATTGAATGTGCATGATGCGTTACTCTAAATATACGTGGCACAATTTAAATCTCCTTCCATGCATGTTTAGACACCCATAAAATGTTCAATTATAAAAGTCAACTTATTTGAGTGGGTGTCTAGACATGCATGAAAGGAGATTTAAATTGTGCCACGTATATTTAGAGTATCATGCACATATATATCAATTAATTTATCACAATCATGACACGTAGATGCACACTAATCATTCACAAAGAACAGAACAAAGAATAGTTCTGACTCTCGTTCATATTAGAACTCATGGTAGTTTTATCCCTTGGTCCGCCAGCATGGTTAGTTATCAGTAATACCAATATTCTCTTGAACCATAGAATAGTTTTATCTTTTGTTCATGTATGGTTCGTCATCAAGAAAACTAAATATTTAACAAATTTCCCCTTTTGTTGATGACAAATTAACCTTAGGTGCCAAAATATTACGTAGTATATTCTTGCAGATTAGAATAGAGTATAGCAGTGCATGTAATAGCAAACATCAAGTAAGAGAGGCACCTTATTATTTCCCCCTTTTGGCATCAACCAAAAGGAAACGAGAAGTAATCAAAACAATGCCCTAATGTTAAGTAACAATGTTTTCAAAAGCATAGAGTGTGTTTAAGTACCACCAGTTTATAATTATTCCTCATCAGAAGGGTAAACAACTCTTCTACGCAGCCCATCACAGTTTTCTTCAAATTTCCCTAGCAACTCACCTTGAAAAGCCTTAATATCATAGTGTAGAGTCTTGGTAGCATTCAAAACCTCCTCAACCTGACGAGACAGTGATGCCAACGATTCAGCCAAGGAATCAAAATGGTGAAGCATACTGACCTCCATAAGATGAAGTTGATCTTTCACAAGCATAACAAAATGCATTGGGTCAGAGTGTTGTAAATATGCCCTAGGACAATCATAATTTATGATTTATCAATAAATATTTAATGCTCATTAATTAATAGTCACAAACTCATTTTATGTTTATTATTATTGTGAGTTTTCTTTATTAATATTTAGTTCCTGAATATTATGTTTAGTAGTTAATTAAGTATGTGACTTAATTGTGGAATGTTACACTTCAAAATAAGCATAATATTCTAATTGTCACAGGTCTAACATTATTAATGTGGGACATTAATAATTAATAGACCAGTATGTGGATTAACTGATGGCTATATTCCACTAGTCATGGTATAGAGATATCAAGTTAATGACATAGATGCTTGTTAGGGAACAAATTCATTGAACAGACCCAACTTGAGGACACTGCTAGGTTATATGTCATCAATGTTGTCCTCAATAATGATGAGATGTTATATTCTTATATTTGAGATAATCATGGTTACTTGCATGAGAATTAATATGTATTAACACCATTAAATGTTGTCTTTAAATAGGTTATTATAAAGGTGGTGATTGTACATATTATGAACCATGTAGTAGTATGTGAATTATCAAGATAGTTTTTGCCACTCTTGTAAAGCGAGAGAAAGATATCTATTGGACCCCTTGACAAGTAAGATTAATTAGTGACGTGCACTTGTCGTGAGGTGCACTCAAAATAATAATAATACAATACAACAAATATACGTAGTATATTGAAGTAAGGTTCGTATCCGCAGGGAAAGGAATACTTTTCTTTTTATGGAAATAAAAGTAACAAGGGGGGTTTTAGTTTGATTTGGTTTAATAATTTAAACACTAAGATGAACGAATTAAATGATTAATTAATGAGAAGAAGACTTGGCTTGCTTTTATCCACTTAATGAAATGTTCGTCGATCCCGGTTATATCTTTAACTATCTTCCTCTCGAATACTCAATCGAGGAGTATATCCAATTCATCGAGGGTAGTTATTAATAACGAGACGCGTTCATTAATAAAACTTACTACCGAGTTAATATAGAACACGCGCCGTATATTCACTCGATAGTAGCAATAAAATCAAGATGAAAACAATTGAGATTGATAGTCTCAACACAAGCGGTTTATTGGTTTAATCAATATAATTAATTCCCCTTAGTTTATTAACCATGAGACGCATGCATTAACAACCCAAGTTTACTACCGTGAAAGGACCGAATTAATAACAAGCGTATTAATCGACCGATTCTAGTATTAATTAATATATGAAACAAAACTAGTTGATCCTTTAAGTAATGCTCAAAATATTAATATGAAATAGGAATAGGAGTTAATTAATATTCAAGGAAGAAGATTAAAGAAAATAACTCACAACTTACAATTCATTAAGCTTCAAAGTAGCAAAACCAAGATGGAAGAGTTTAGCTCCTCATTTGGAGACTAAACATGAAGAAAATATAAAGAAATAACTTGTCTAAACTGAGCTTAGAAGTATAAAGGAATTGGTAATTTTTGTGGGAAGGAAAGGGGTCTATTTATAGGGAAATGGAGCATGCAGGGGTGTGTACCCGATCGGGTATAGAAGGCTCCCGATCGGGTACACTCAGAAGCTTCCCAGAAGCTGAAAAATAAGGTCATACCCGATCGGGTCTGTCGGTCACCCGATCGGGTATGACACTCGAACGTGGTCAAAATCTTCCCCGCATGTTGCTTGGTTCCCGGGTTGATCCGATTTGATTTTCCAGTAGGGTACCCGATCGGGTATAGGTCATACCCGACCGGGTACAGACCAAATTCGAAATCTTCACCTCTTTTTCTTGCATTTTTGCACTTTCCTTCCACTTGTGGTGTTCACCAATGGTCCCCAAAGTGTACTTGGACCTGTTTGAGCTCAGAATAAACCTAATCTAAACAAATTACAAATATTTGACAAACTAGACTATTACACCAAAAGTGTGTAATTTCCAAAGTAACAATCAATCTAAACTAATTAAAAATACCAAAATAAACATGGAAATTACATGAATGTCAATTAGCATGGCCATACTCAAATGAAGTGTCATTTGATCGAGATTAATCTTGCTTGGTAATCAAGAAATATTAATTGAGAATAACAAGGATGACACGACCTAACCTTGTCTCAATTAAGAAATCGTTTGACAAAAGAGAATTATTAGAACAAATTAATCATTAAAAGGTTATGTCAGATTTAATTGACATTTATATATTTTGGATAGTCATAATGTCTTGCTAGAGGCCACTTATGATTTGTGAGGCTCGAATTAATTTCTAGTCCACTGCCAATAATATATAAACCTACAGCGTCACACACCTAAGTGATTTGGATCATTAATGTTTGTTAATAACATTAAAATAGCTTGATTAGCCCAATTCGAAATAGGTTTTCGAATGGTGTTGGGCTAGGGCGTCTTTAAGGGTTTTATTAGCCATAAAACCCCTTCTTTACTCCTCTTATAAATAGGGCTATATAGACTCACGAATTTTAAGAGTTACAATTCACTTCTTAAACCTAGAGTAGAGAGGAAGAAAGAAGAGAACGCTAGCACGTGCGTGTGGATACCGGTAGAGCTCGGGATCGTTTTCTCGGACTGTCTGACATCCTTGCTTAAGATTGCTATGTAATCTCTCTTAAGTCTTGTAATTTCGTTTATAGTAAGAACCTCAGATCCGTTTGTTTTCTTTTGGGTAGTAAAATTTTCGTTTATTCCGCTGCGTTTTTCTGCCCGAAACCCAGCACAGAGGAGGTAGGAGGAACGGAACATGCTTAGGTTTAGGGATTTTTTCTGGGGCTGGAGGAGTGATGGTTTCTTTGAACACGAGCTTGGAATTGACCCACGAATTTTAAGAGTTAAAATTCACTTCTTAAACCTAGAGTAGAGAGGAAGAAAGAAGAGAACGCTAGCACGTTCCCTAGCTGCAGCCAATCCAGTCACGTGTGTGTGGATATCGGTAAAGTTCGGGATCGTTTTCTCGGACTGTCTAACATCCTTGCTTAAGATTGCTATGCAAGTCCCTCTTAAGTCTTGTAATTTCGTTTATAGT